ACTTCACAAACCAGTTCAAAGATATGATAAGTAATAATTTTGAAATGGTGTCAGTGGTGCATTAAACTCTGTGGGGCCCAGGTACAAGGAGAGGGCATTAGAAAAGCTGCTGTTGCAGGCTTCATGAATGCCGTATACAGATTGGGTGCACTTGTCACAGGAGAAACTCAGTTCCTGCCAACGCAGTAAGGGATTACAGATCAAGTGTATTAGCGAGCAAGCAGGGTTTATTAGTGACACATTCTCATGGAAGAGGACAGGCCTTGCTGAGGTGGGGATGAAAGGCAAGGGCTTGGGTGGCAAGAGCAGCAGGCCCTTTGTCCTGGGGACTTATATAGTTGGTGGGTAAAAGTGGTGCCAGCTTCCAAGGGCATGGGCTATCCAAATGTAGGTATGTGTGGGGGTCGTTAGACTGAATCCTTATCTTGCTTCTGACCCCACTTGGTCATCTTGTAAAATAGATCCATGACAGGAGACAGTTTAAATTGAGGCAGTTACCCAAACTTACCAATGGGCTCTTTCTGTAAGCACTAGGGACCCTCTCAGAAAAGACAGTGGACAGAGGTAAGGAATTAATCAGATTTGTTTTATGGGTCCTTTCTGTGAGTGCTGTAGAGCCTCTTCCATCTTCTAGGCCTTGGGATGAATACAGTTTGAAAACCTTTCTTTCCCAGATAGTGGAAATAATACCTAGAATTTCAACGTGTTAGCATGGTGTTTCTTGTGATGCTGGAACATCTGGCAATGGAATTGGACCAGGCGAAGGATGCTGAGTTAGTGGGTGACACCCATCTTCCTCGTCCTCCCTGCCTTGCATCACCATCTACCCTAACACCCCAGTGCAGGCAGGTGCTGTTTCAGTGTCAGTTCTCAGCAAGGGGTGGGTGAGGGTCTTGTTTCACAGGCTACTTGCAGCACCACCTGCTTATGTTCAGGAGGCTCTGAGGATACCCAGGCTCAGTGAGAGGGTGGTGATCAGGAGGGAGGCACATCCCCAACCATACGCTTCCTTCTTAGGGCAGCTCAGTCTATGTGGGGACAGCAGTGGGGTCCTACTCAAATTCTGAATTTGGTTAAACACCCCTGTTCTAATCTTCCTTTGTCAACCATTAAAGACCAGGAAGACATGGGCACCAAAGGCTGTTCAGTAGGGCTTTGCGATGTCAGTGATCCTCTTGCCAGATTCTGTCTGTGCTGACTCAACTTTGAATGTCAAACCAAAAGACTGGAGTTCCCATTTCCATTGCACAGACTAGGAAGCAGGCAGAGAGAAGTTGAGATTCTTGCCTTAGGTCACATAGCTGGAGAAGACAGAGCTGAGACTCACACCCACTATAAACTGATGTGGAATCTGTATGCTGTGCACCAGGAAATGCTAACCCTGAAAAGGCAGCAAGGAGTGAGGAAGACCAGGTGCCCAGACTGAGCAGCTCACATCTATGGACAAGCATCCATCTCTCCTTGCCATTCACCTCTGAGGCTCCAGACATTGTAGGAAACCAGAATAGCCAAGAGAAGCCAAGGGAGGAGGGGTAGGGAGCTGATTAGGAGAAAAGGCCCTTTCCAGGAGTCTGGGGAATTCCCTCCCTGGGTGTCTGTCTCAAATCCCTCTTTGGGGAGTAACAAAAGTAGGCTGATGCCACATTTACACATTTTCAGGAGTTAAATTTCTGTGGCTGAGAGAATGAGTTCTTTGTGGCTCTTTAGGAACCCTCTACTTTCAGTGATTGGGAAAATGAGACATGTATATGGAGACAACGTTTTAGAATAGGTCAAAAAACCATGAACGAGTTTGGTGCTGACATCCCCATATTACTATGGAACTGTTTGTCCGTTTCATGTGTTGTAATGGAATTGGAGGGTTTGTTTAACCAGTTACTTCTATACTAATTACAATCTTGGGGAAAGTAAGGGGTGTGGACTTCCTATGGCTATTGATATGTGACTTAATGCTAATGACTTACTCACTCCACCTGCAAACATAGGGCTTCTCCCCAGAGTGTGTCCTCTGGTGTCTGATGAGATCTGAGTTGCGTGTAAAGCCTCGCCCACACTCCCTGCAAACATAGGGCTTCTCCCCAGAGTGTGTCCTCTGGTGTCTGATGAGATGTGACTGCTGTGTAAAGCCTCTCCCACACTCCCTGCAAACATAGGGCTTCTCCCCAGAGTGTGTCCTCTGGTGTGTGATGAGAACTGACTTGCATGTAAAGCCTCGCCCACACTCCCTGCAAACATAGGGCTTCTCCCCAGAGTGTGTCCTCTGGTGTGTGATGAGAACTGAGTTGCGTGTAAAGCCTCGCCCACACTCCCTGCAAACATAGGGCTTCTCCCCAGAGTGTGCCCTCTGGTGTGTGATGAGAGGTGACTTGCGTGTAAAGCCTCGCCCACACTCCCTGCAAACATAGGGCTTCTCCCCAGAGTGTGTCCTCTGGTGTCTGATGAGACTTGACTTGCGTGTAAAGCCTCGCCCACACTCCCTGCAAACATAGGGCTTCTCCCCAGAGTGTGTCCTCTGGTGTGTGATGAGAACTGACTTGTATGTAAAGCCTCGCCCACACTCCCTGCAAACATAGGGCTTCTCCCCAGAGTGTGTCCTCTGGTGTCTGATGAGACTTGACTTGCGTGTAAAGCCTCGCCCACACTCCCTGCAAACATAGGGCTTCTCCCCAGAGTGTGTCCTCTGGTGTTTGATGAGATCTGACTTGCGTGTAAAGCCTCGCCCACACTCCCTGCAAACATAGGGCTTCTCTGCAGACTGTGTCACCTGATGTGTGATGAGATGTGATCCATCATTAATGCCTTGCCAACACCCTCCTTGCTCGATTGTTACAATTTTTGACATTCCTCCTTTCACAAAGAACTTGCCTGTGTCCCCTGGTTTCTCTTTCTGGCCTCCTCGGGGCTCTTCTTCCATCATTCTCTCATGCTCACTAGAGCTCATTTGTTCTTTGGACGGTTGGAAAAAGGGTTTTGAGATTCTCCTCTGACTGATCCTTTTAAGCAAAGGTTTGGACCTTTCTTTGACTTCTTGACTTTCAGTATTATCATTCCATCTGTGCATACTAGTATGTTGTTGCTGCTGATTCTGATCCTCTGGACAGGGTTCCTCTGCTTGGAGCTGTTTTCTTGCAGATGTTCCCTGGAGAATCTGAGAGGGATGATTGAGTTTCACATGTTGGCTGAGGAATTTCTGACTGGAGAAGGCCAGGAAACAGGAGGGACATGGGTGCACCTCTGGCTTTGGTTCTGCTGAAAGAGAAAGGTTTGGTCAGGGCAGATGTTGACGACAATGCATGGGCTGTATTAGTCTCCTGGTAGGACCTGCCCCGTGAGTCCTTCTTACTGTGGTGATAAGACAACCTCTGTCTTCCAGTGTCCACTCACCATCTATTTTCCTGTTTATTTTTATGCAGTGCATCTTCTTCAGAATCCAGAAAGCCCACATCAAGGGTCTTTTCTAATATTGCCGAGAGTAGGGAATTTTGGAGCATGAGAGGCCATTTCACTCCCCATGTGGATGGAACTGCAGTGACCTTTCCCATCTGTAGGTATTTTCCAAGTCATGTTAAAGAGGAAAACCACAGGCTCCAACTAGGAATTGCTTCTCTGTTTTCCAAAATAGTAAAATGAAATGTCCTTCCTCAAGCCTCACACCAAATATTTATGCTTCATCTCATTTAGTTAGACTAATTCAAATACACAAAGAAGACCTGTTTCAAAATATTTCAACCACATTTCTTACACACCTGACTCCTGTTTCTCTCTGGGCAATCTACCATGCTCTCTCACTTGGAGATGAAGTAACCTGAGGGGATTCCCCACTGGAGTTTATTTTCTAAAAATTAACAAAACATAATCAGAACAGAGAACACACTACTCTATAGCTGACCACTGCACACTTTCATTCAGGAAAGTCCCCAGTGTCTCAACTCGGATCATCGGCACTGCATCTCTGGGCTGCTAAGCATCTGTCTGATCTCTGTTTTTATCCTCTGTGCTGAGACGAGACCTGAGTGACCCTCAACCAATTCAATGCTGCACCTCTTTTCTTCCCTGGACTAGCTGCTCCCTCTGCCTGGGATCCTCTGGCTGTAGGTATTTTTGTAAATGCTGTCTCCTGAGAGAACCCTTCCTGGACCACCTGCCACACGCCTCCCCTCACACTGATGCCCAGGCACTTGTACTGGGTTAGTTTTCTCCAAAGCACTAACCGCTGTGTGGTGTTATGCACACACAAGCATGTGCCTGGGTTTCCCTCCTTCACCCATTAGTTCCTCAAGAGCAGTGATTCTGATCCTCACATTAACCTGTATATCCAGGTCCCAGATCTCTCATGATAATTCACTGAAATGATGAACGAATGTGCCCTGCCCGAATGGTGTGGCTTGGTGGGTTGGGTGTTGTCTGAAAACTGAAAGGTGACAAGTGCAATACCCAGTCAGGGCATATGCCAGGGTTGTGGGCCACTTGGGGTTGTGCCATAGACGACCGGTTAATGTTTCCCTTGCACATTGGTTTTTCTTTCTCCCTCCTTTCCACTCTCTGTAAAAATAAATAAAACCCTGTTTAAACTTTTTTATTTATGTATCTATTTATTTTCAGAAAAGGGCGAAGGGAGGGAGAGGGAGAGAAACATCAATGTGTGGTTGCCTCTCACACACCCTGTACTGGGGACCTGGCTCAAAGCCCAGAAATATGCCCCAACTGGAAATCAAACTGGTGACCCTTTAGTTCACAGGCCGGTGCTCCATCCTCCAAGCCACACCAGCCAGGACAAAATCTTTAAAAAATAATGAATGCCTACAAAGAAAAATGTTTTATTTAGAAGTATGAAGGAAAATTCAGAAGAAACAACTATAAAAGTGTCAGAAAAACTGCCTTGGTGAAAGAACTTGTTAGTGCTTGAAAACTTGTTTTTTGCCTCTCAGTCTTTTACTGAAAGAAAAAGACTTTTACTATATGCGGTTGTGTATTTTGTGTACGAAATATTTAAAAAATACAAAGTATAAAAATTTTGCCTAAGAGTCAAAGGCATATGAATTGTGAATTTCTGAAGCATGTCATTTGAAACTTTACTGACTTTAGAGTAGATTTTACTGTACTTAAGAGTTGGATCATAAATGTTTCTATGGAGAATTCTCTCTTTTCTTTCTGTTTTGAAGAACAGTGGTGCCCACCTCTTCCGGCCATGAGCTCTCTCTTCCACTTGCTGCCCCACTTTCTGCCCAGCTCCTGGCCATACTCGTCCCCGCACCAGACCAGCAGCTCATGGCCCGGTCTGACGACCCGGCAGGTTCGGTAGAAGATCTGCCTGTGGTACTGAAAGGCCACCAGGTTCTGCTCTTCATCATCCCGGGCACAGTTCACAAACCTGGGATTGAGGCAGATGAAGGGAAAGAAAAGCACAGTGATGAGTTCCCACTACCTGTTACATCCATGTCCAGCTCCTCACTGATTCTTAAGGCCCTCAGGCTCTGGTGTTGCCCACTGCCCCTAATGATTCTGGGGAATCTTTGTTCAGTGTCTGAGCGTCTGCCAGCATGTCATGTGAATTCTTACGTCCAAGTCCTGCTTGCAGTGTTCATCCTGCCTAATACCATTTCCTAGAACCCAGTTCTAGACTTAACCTCCACCATGACTGGCTATAATATCCAGTGATACTGGATTCTCCAAACTCTAAATCAACTTGTCTCACACCATAGAACCGGGTGCTTGATCTAGGGCTCTGCTTCTGAATTAGCTCATTAATTATCCAGTACTCAACCCATGTCTGTTTTCTCTTGAGAGGCCTTTCTCTAACCCTCCTACACTTTACTTAGGGCATCATTCACTTGCCTGCTCAAGATTACCATAGAAAATTGGAGGTCTTTTGGGTGTCTACCTGGGTTGTGTGATCTGTTTAAGTAATGTATTCCTTTACCTAAACTGGAATATACGAAGTGCTTAATTAATGTTCATTTGATAAATTAAAGTGTAATCCAGTGTTCCTGGTGAATCTAGGCTCTTCAAGGTCCTTTCCAGTTCCCAAACTGTGTCTAGTAGAGAGCTTCATATTTTGAGGACATATGCTATACTTTCTTCCTAAAAGTCCCCTGACATGAAAGAACACTGTATGGAGAAAAAGAGGAAATAAAGAATTGAGGGAGACCAGTGAGGGAGGCATGATGAGAGGGACAGATATAGGGGCTCATGGGGGATGAGAGTCCCCTCTGGCACCCAGAGACCTGTTGACCTCACCTCATCCAGTTGGCCCAGGATCTGTCCTTTCCATCCACATACTCATAGCAGTTTCTCCCTTTGGCGATCTGTGTTTCAGAAGAGAAGTTAAAGACCTTTTATTTTTTTTGGTGGGAAGGTAATAGTCAGAATTATTTTACTCCACAGTCATCAAAGCTCATTCAGCCTGCATGGGGATTCCACTGCCAGCTGTGACCACATGATATTTTTCTTACTCATCACCTACACAGCTGAGTCTACCTGTCCAATCAGGGCAGGAGCCCCACAAGGGAGAAGCCACTCCTTTGTGTCTGCACCACTTTGCTCCCACTTACTTTCTGATCCTTCAACAGGAGCTCTGTGTTCATGTGAAGTCCAGTCAGTACACAGAGCAAACCACATCGTCCCCTCCATGTCTAGCATGTAGGAGGTGAGGTCCCTCCAAGCTTCAGAAGGAATGTGGGAAGCCAGAAGACAATGGAAGAGGTAAATAGTTCTCACCAGCCAGGAGTATCTGCTCTTGGCTGCCTCTTCATCTTCTGTGATGTGTCCTTCATAAGGGCCAAAGTGCAGACCCACTGGCAAATCAGCTGCCTCATTCCACACTCCAAGCCCAGCCTCAGGGATGCAGGATGGCCCGATTCTCAACCCAGGGGGCAGGGTGAGGGCTGAGTGGTGGGGATGCCCCTTGTCCACTGCACTGTCCTTTACAAATGCAGGGAGTCCATGCACAGCGCAGCTGTCGATGAAGAAGTTCTGACACTTCTCACAATCTGGAGGCGAGAGCATCAGGGGTTAGGGAAGGTATAGCGCATGTTCCTGGACACAAAGAGCTTCAGGGGGAGTCCAGAACTGACATCATTGAGACTCAATCCTATACTCCAGGTCCCTAGAGGAAGGGAATGATTTGGGGACCAAAGGACTAGATGAAATTATTGTATCATAACTTGCTTCTTAGTGAGGGTCACTTACAAAGGTAGTCATCATCCTGGGGCTCGGTGACCTCTTGGTACACACAGTCCTTTCTTTCTTGTAGGCTGTACATCTTCACGTCCATCTCCTTTCTCCTGAGTTCCTGAGTTGGAGAAGAGCAGGTGAGCCAGGTTGGTGGGATCTATAGTGTTAGCTCCCATTTTGTCAGATAACACACAATCTGCTCCCATCAATTTATTACCTGTCCTTTTGCATACTCTGGTATTTTACTGTTAACTATTGGTTCAGAAAATTACATGCCACACTAACTACAGATGTGTGATTCAATTTTAGTTTCTAGATCTTCCCATTACCAGGTTTAACTTGCCAACCTTTAATCATTCATAAAATGTTTCTTGAGTGCACATTATGTGTTAGGCATTGAGTAAAGGCCTGGGCATACAACACCAGTACAGTGTGGTTGCTGTTATCACAGATGGATTTTTTGGACAGCTTGCATGTGTCACCTGTTTTAAGTTCAATTTAATGTTTTCAAATATATGAGTGATGTTTCCTTATCTTCACTTTACACATTAGCATGCAGGAGCTCAGAGAATTGATAGGATTTGCCCAAAGGTCCAGTGGTAACTTCGGTCTCAGCTTAGCCCAGCTTAAACCCAGGCCTACCAAAGTCTGTCCCACATACCTAAGTCATACTTATTAGCCCTTCTGTAGGACTTAGAGGAACTAAAGTTCCCTAATTATTTTTTGTTATCCGATTTTTGTCTAGTGTGCTTTCCAAAGGCACATGTTTCTCCAGGCGGGAACACTGGTTTCTGGGCCTGCTCTGAGTCACTTGCAGTCATCAAATTTGCTGTTCCTGACAATTCCTTCAAGCTATATTTATTGCTTAATGGCACCCCGGATGTTGCCTTCAATATAAGAGTCATATATTAAAAGATAACATGTACTTAATATTTTAAGGCCTATCATATAATTTACATGCATTTTTTAATACTTGAATCCTTGGAAATACCTCAGGAGTATGAATATTAGAGGGTATAGGGCCAATGTGGGTAACAAATCCAAGATTAGAACCCATGCCTTTATGGCTTTTCTTTCAACTGTCTCTATAAAATTGACAGTGAAGGACATTGGGAAGAGAATAGTTGGCAGAAACATGTCTAGACAATTGCTAAAACGATAAATATTTGCAATACCTCATCTCTCTCCCTATTTCAATCCCACAGAAATTACTTTCAGCATTCATTGACCATGTTCTAATTTATTTTGTAATTGTGAAATCATTCATTCAGCAAACATTCGGAGGCCCTCAGGGGCCCTGATCTGGGCCTGTGACCTCTGAGAAGTCTCAGGTATGGACCAGGCCCTCAAAGAGCTCACAACACAGAGTAGGCAGGATAAACAAATGATTCTAAACAAGATGAGAGTGGCCTCATTAGAACTCAGACAAAGCTGTTACTTCACCCTATACGGGGATTTGAAATCAATTCCAGACGCATGAGTTTCTGTTGAATAGTGTGTAACCTATATGAAATCCTAAAGTCATTTTATTATTTGTTATTCCACAATCATGAAACTTGAAGCTCCTCAGGGGTGGGAGATGCTCTTTATTAGAGTGGGAGGCTGTGATCCTGGACACTTTACATTCTTCTTCATCTGGGACCATCCACTATACCAACTGCCTACACATTGTACGCTTTCCTTAGTCAGAGGGTCTTAGTGCATCTCTCACTTCAGCATAGCAGAGAACTTTGGTTGAAATCATCAGTCAGATGAATGATGTAATGATATATTGTTAAGACAATTAAACTTTAGAAAACTATGAAAGTGTATTTTTCTGATTTTTAAAAAAGATTTATTTATTTATTTAAGATTTTATTCATTTATCTTTAGGGGGGAAGTGAAGGAGAGAAGGAGAGAAATATTAATGTGTGGTTGCCTCCTGTGGGTCTCCCACTGCAAACTGGCCTGCAATCCAGGCATGTCCCCTGACTGGGAATCCAATTGTGATCCTTTGGTTCACAGGCCCGCACTCAATGCACTGAGCTACACCAGCCAGGGCGGATTTTGTTTATTTTCTTGGGAGACAGGAAGGGAGGGAGAAAGAGAGGGAGAGAAACACTGATGTGAGAAACATTGGTCACTTACCTCTCACAAGTACCCCAACCAGGAACCTGGCCCACAAGCCAGGCATGCGCCCTGACCAGGAATCAAACCAGTGCTCTTAACATTTTGTAGGATGACACCCAACTGAGTCACCCTGGCTAGGGTAAAACTATGAAAGTTTCAATGACTTGGTAAGTGGTTTAGAGAAGCAACTATGGGTTAGATTGCACTACCACTGATACTGTGATCTTAGACATATAGTCAAACGTTTCTGTATCTCTGAAAGCTCACTTCCCTCATCATGAATGGGGAGTTATAGTACGTACCTCATCGGGTTGTCGTAATGTTTGAGTGACTTTATTCACATAGAATTCTTAAAGTCTGAAACATGAGAATGAAACAAATGGTAGTCACTATTGTTGCTGTAGTTGTTAACTACTAAGATGATGATGAATGGAATTCTATGCAGCAGAGAGAAAGAAGGAAATACTACCCTTTGCAACAACATGGATGGAACTAGAAAGCATTATGCTGAGTGAAATAAGCCAGGTGTTGAAAGACAAATATCATATGATCTCGCCTTTAACAGGAAGCTAAACAACAAAACAGACAAGCAAGCAAAATAAAAACAAATACACTGAAATAGAGAACAGGGGCACAGCGACCAGAGGGAAGAGGGGAGGGAATTTAAGGGGAAAAAATGGGAGGGATTTAGAGGAACAAGTATAAAGGACAGAGACAATAACTAAGGGGGGTGGAAATGGGAGGGAGGTGGGGTGCATGGGGAGGGGTGGGCTGGGATGGGAGAAATAAACAGAAAACTGTACTCAAAAAATAACTAAATAAAAAATTTTTAAAAGAATAAATTATAATAATAAAAAAAAGATGATGATGAGCCCTGGCTGGTGTGACTCAGTGGATTGACCGCTGGCCTGCTGAGTGAAAGGTCACCAGTTCCATTCTCGGTCAGGGCACATGCCTGGGCTGGGGACCAGGTGTCCCACTTGGGGGAGTGTGAGAGGCAACCTATACAGGTGTGTCTTGCACATGCTTCTCTTCCTTACTTTCTCCCTCTCCCCTCTCTCTAAAAAAATCAATAAGTAAAATGTTTTTTAAAAGATTATAATGTTGACAATGCGTTGAGAAGACCTGGAAAGGAAGGCAGCAGTTCCTAGGGTACTTCCTGCATTTTCCTACTCTTACCTGCATTTCTATCCACGAGAAAAATTTTCTTGTCAACAGGATTTGGGAAACACTCACCTTCTGGTGTCTACTCTGTTCCCTTCTGAAGGCCATCTTTCAGGAGGTTTCACTGTGAAATGCCCCCTGATGGGTGTCCACGCAGGAGGGAGCTGCAGGCGGATGGAGCCGCCTGAGCCGGAGCCAGCCCAGCGGCCTGGCGGGTTCACCAAGCCCCTGGGCCCAGCGCCTGCGCGCTACCGAGGCTGGGGAGCACCTGGAAGTCCCTCTTCACGTCCGGGTGCGACCTTTCCCCTCATTGGCGGGGCGCCCGGAGTGGGGACCGCGGACCTGGATGGGCCGAGCCGCCAGAGCAGGGCCTTTGTTCCCGCCCTTCCCTCCACGCGCCGCCACAGCTCGGGCTCAACAGGCCCGGGGGGCCTGTGGCGGCGCAGGAAACGCGCTTTTCCCGGGGAAGGGCCCGGAGGTGCACCCGGGGGTCCGGAGAGGCCCGCACGAGACGCAGGCGCGTCCCCGGCAGACCGCCGTCTCTCAGGCTGACAGGCTCGGGGTCCCTGAGACCCGATCCTGCGTCTTCCCGTCTGAGGACACTGAGGCCGGGGGCAGGGTCAGACCCTGCGGCTGAGGAGATTTGGGGCGTCTCATGGAGGGGCTTCAGGGTCCCCACCACTGAGTTAGTTTCCAGGACGACGGCGTTTAGCGTCTCTGAGTTTGGGGAGATTCGGTCTTTCCGGGCGAGCTGCAGGTTGGGGGCCCCGAGCCGAGGGGAACTGGGGTTTTCGGGCTGTTTGGGGGTCTAAGCGTTGGGGGTCAGGAGATGTGGGTCCTCCGGGTTGGCGGACGCGGGCCCCTCGATGCTGAAGGGGTTTGGGGTCCCTCAGGATGAGGGCATCTGGGGTCTCTCAGGCTGGACTTTGAAGGTCTCGGGGAAAGGGCTCCTTGTGGCAAACTCCCCGCTTACCGGTCAGTCTCCTGGGGCCTCTGCTGCGCCGCCCACCAGGGACCAGCGTCCTCTCCGAGCTCCTGGGCTTCCGGCCCTCGGAAAGAGTGCGGGCGCCTGGGGCGGGATTCATACCAGGATAGCCTGTGGGAGCAACCCGCCAATCAGTGCTGTGGTCCCGTGGCTCTGCCCACCAATGAGCGGTCAGAAGAAGCTGAAGGGGCGGGGAAGGAGGCGGGGCCTGGGTTCCCGGCTGGCTAACCCCCGCCCCTAGGGGATTGGCGGCTCTGGGTCTCCCGAGCCTCTGTCTCACAGCCTGCAGCAAGGCTTGCGTTTTCCAGCGGCCAGTTTTCCAGAGGCTGGAGAGGCACCCGTTCCGCAGTGGCTGGGAGCTCCGAGCCTGGGCAGGTTTTTAGGGTGGACGTGGCCCTCCTGCCGCCTTACAAAGTGTCTTTGTTCCACCAGACTGTAGTCGGGATCCCCAATTTTCCTCTAGGCCCATCCGTGCCCTCTCTTACCAAAGCCACTTTCAGCAGAAGATGCATAGCCTGTGAGGATGTGGTCAAGACTACACTGCAATCCGTGGAAACTTAAGTCAGTAAATTCTGACCACGCAAGTCATACACACAGAATAAGTCCCTCAAATATTTAAACACAGTGAATGACATAATAAGCATACTGGAAAACACACTGAGTATTTCACGTCTCAAAGAAGTGACGTTATGAGTAATAGGTATGTTTAAGTAACTCAGGTGAAAAAACGTTTCAGAAATAGGGAGACAAGATAAAACCAAATAACACTGAATAAGTTTAGAAGTATTGGAAAAACATTCAAGTATTTTGCATACAAATAACACGTCAAATTTGGGGTCAGGGGTCCCCAGAGCAGGGTTTGTTTAGCTGCTACTGGTTTTCACGGGATAAAGTGGGAAGAGTGTTTCTGGCCCCTACCTCCTTTTGAGCACGTAAATATAACTTGATTTCCATGGACTGGAACTGTGCCAACTAACTGTAATTGTTACTGTGAAACTGCGTAAAGGGAAACCTTACTAAAGAGGAGTTGGGGGCCAGTGGGGGTGCTCCACATAGCACCACCCAGGGTCTATTACAGGAAAAATTGTCTGTCACAGGCCCCAACATGAAGATGGTACTGTGTGCTCCCAGGAGAAACTGGCTCCCCAGCAATTCAGGCAGCTAGAAGCCATTGTCACCTTGAACTGAGGATTTTCTGCACTGCACTTTCATTTGAAATGACCCCTCCCAACTTCCTCCTTTCTCCCTGTAAAATAACATTCCTCTCCCTTACTTGTGGAGCTTACCTGTCTTTTGCTAAAGCTTGCTTGTCCTAAATTTCATTTTTTGTTACTATTTCTGAATAAATCCCTTATCTGCTGGTAAAATAACTGCCTGCTATACTTTTAAGGTCAACGTAATTTGGTGGCTCCTATGGGGATCCAGAGGACTCTTGAGATCTCTGTGCTGATGAGTAAGCAGGTGCAGTGTCCTTGCTCTTAAAGGCTTGGGGAAAGGTCCTTTGATGCAGACTCTCTGGCTCATTTTGAGAATAGCTATTCACAAATAATATCCTCATACCCTCTGACCAAGAAATTCCACTTTTCAAAATTTTTTTCTAGTAGCCCTGGCCTGGTAGTTCAGTTGGTTAGAGTGTCCTGCCTATATGCCAAAGTAGTCAGTTCATTCTCCAGTCAGGGCACATACTAGAAGCAATCAATGAATGAATGCATAAGTGGAACAACTCTTTCTCTCTCTTTCAAATGAATAAATGAAAAATTTTAAAAAGCATAAAAATCCCCTTTTTGCTTCCCTGTGTATGAAATGAAACATGGTTAAAATATTGTATCCAACACTTATATAATAACATAATTGTAAAGTTTTCAGTAGAAGAGAATTTGTTAAATTATGGTTTGATCACACTGTGAAATATAGAATGTTGAAAATGGTTGAGGATACATGGTATTTCATTGAAGAAATAAAACCTCGTAAGGTGGTTCTACTGGACTTTAACAGAGAATAGTTTCTAAGCAATGTTGTTACGTGAGAAAAGTATCCTGCAAAACAAATTGTGGTAAAAAAAAAAAACAACAACCCAGGCAGAAGACATGTGTTGAAAGGAGACACAGGGACTAGTAGCCACAGGGATCAGGGTCTGGTCAACGTGCAGGGGAAAACTTGCTTTTCCTTCATGTCATTTGGAACATTGTGTCATTGTTGTGTCAGTTCTTTTCTCTGTTAATTAAAAGAAACCTATCTATGCATATTTTTTGTAGATAAAAGAATGAATAAGATTAGTAGTTGGTTATATATGTGTGCATTTAAGAATGACTCAACAAAAATTCCACACATCTTCATTACATCCAGTGCCTGGTGCTGCCTTCTTTATCTGAATAGCAAGCACCTTAACCACCCAGAGTGTCCAATTTGCACCCAAAAGTCTATTCCAGCAGGAACATTTCCACAGTGCAAAACACACTGTCACACAGTTACTGTTTGTTTGAGAAATGCAAATAATTTATTATGAAAACAATCAATTTTATATTTAAGTACTGGATCCAAAGTCATTTACAGAAACACAGTTAAGAATATTGCAAACCCTGACTAGTGTGGTTCAGCTTCTGTGTCTGGCATCTGGCAACTAGGGTTCATTGTCCAGCTTCCACTCTGGAGTCTGGCTGTGGAGGCTTGGTTATGGATCTGGGTCCCGTCTCTGAGGTCTGTGGCCTTGGTTTGAATCTATTTGGCTATGGGTCTCAGATCTGGGGTCTCTTTGGGTACAGCTTTGGGGTCTCTGGGTTTGTGTGTGGGGGGTCTCTGTACATGTCTATAAATGTATAGTCGTTGGCTCCAAGTCAATGTGAAGAGGTATTCCAAGGTTGGGGTGTGGTGAAGAACACTTTAGTGCAAATATCTCAATTTTAATATAGAATGGCCATGAGTACAGAATGGTTGTTAAGAAGCTCAGTATTGTCACAGGTGAATTATGAAGCAGCATTCGGTGTATCAAACTCAGTACTGCTGCTTCTTAGTTATGTAGCATCAGGGCTGTGAGGAGGCCCTGCAGTGGGGCAGCCCTGGGGCAAACTCCCTCTCCTGCTGAGCTGCTTAGGGCTTCTCTGTTCATTTACATGACTTCTGGTCTAGACCTTCATTTCCTCTTTGCTGGGCTGTATTTGCATATGAAGAAGTGAACATTGGAAAAGGCTGGGTGAGCAAAGAAAGGCCTCTGGTGTTGTCACCACAACAGACTAGACTATTATTATTATTTTAAAATTATGCCATTGTTTTCCCATTGTAGTTTTTAAGCCCTGAGACAGCCTTTTTTGTTGTTGTTGTTGGTGCTGCTTACTTAAATTATATAGAAAAATAAATATAATGGAAAATACTACACAAATAGGTAGTAGCTGCAATTATATTAAGTGTATATGCTTCTAAACAAGGTGGGGGTGTGTGGGGTGGGATGGGCAGAGGAGAACAAAGGGGAAAAATTGGGAAACTGTAACAGAATGACAATAAAAATCATTTAATAAAAAATATATATATACCCTTCCAGATATCACTAGTTGCATATTTCCATTCTTCCACTTTCTCTGGATTTCATTTATTATTCCAGGTTTGCAATATGATGCAAAATTTGTGAATTTTCAGGCTTTCGTCCTAATGTGCGTATTTATCAGTACTTTTTCCCAGAGTATTTTTATGTAAAATTTTTATTATCATTCCATTTAAATTATGTTTTAAGTGCAATTGTAATTTAATTTATGGGTTATTAAGAAGTGTATTTTATAATTTTTAAATATAAAGACTTTCTATTTATCTTTTATTACTGATTGCTCGATAAGCTACAATGAGAGCAAGAAATATACTTTATATAATTTCAATCCTTTGATATATTTTTTTGAAACTTGCTCCACAGTAGAATATAGTGAATGTAAAAAACAAAACAAAACAAAACAAAACAAAACAAAACAAACGGTTAGCCATAGGACTACGAGAGGACCACATATTGATGTTTCTCTCCCACTCTTTCTCCTTCCTTTCCCCTCTCTCAAAATAAATAAAATATTTTTATAAAAAACCCCAAAAAACAAAAAAACAACCCAAATATAAAAACCCCTCCAAGCTCGGTTCTGTGGTGCCATTTCTTGTTTATTTTGGGAATAACACCTTAGTGCTCGTCAACGA